CACTGAGCAAGTGAGTATTTTTACTTTATTTTTATGAATTTTCTAGGCAAAGATATGAATTTTTTAAGTTTAGGAACTATTTTCTAAATTTATTAAATATCCTATTTATTTATTCAAACCGCGGGTTGACTGGATCATCGGATCCGTCGAAAAGCCACGCGGCGCGCTCTTATTCGACGTCGCCTTCTGAGTCAGCTGCCACGTGTCCCGCCATTTCGTTCCATAGGATCATCCGGCTTGATCTCTGCCGTCCACTCAATACACGCGCAGATGGACGACATCCGTTCATCGTCCCCGATGGCCTTAACCGAGAGCCGTCCATTTTAAAATCTTAATATCTCTCTCATTTCTCAATCGATTTTGATGATTTTTTTTTAAATGTTCGTCTTGAAGAGACGAATACATCTATATGGGGAACATGCTATTAAATCAAGCCATTGTAAATGTAGAGCTTGCGAATGCTCGGGAGAGTGAGTGAGTTATACCTTTTCTCCGAGTGGTTTAGCCTCAATCAGAGATTCTTTACACCTTCGTTAGATCCCAAAGAGCTTAGGGATGAAGCCTCTGGCTCTGGTGTAAAGCCTATGTATGATTTTGATCAAAGCCAATTTTGGGTGTTGGTTGAAAGCTATGGTAGAGGTTATTTCAGGGGGGGAATTGATGGGGGTTTTGCCTCTTTCACTGTTGTGAAGGTGTAGGGCCAATTTTTTTGAAGTTTGGTGTTGTGTAGGTTAGGATTGGGGTTTGTCCTGGTTTCGAGCAAGAATTCAAGCTCAAAATTGGATTGCCATGGTGGATTTGAGTGAGGGAAATAGATTGCAATGAACTAAGGGTCTCTTAGGGAAGCTCTCTGAGGAGGTGAAAATTTTTTACCACACCACTATTCATGGCCGTGGGGGTGGATTTTATAGAAATTGGCTAAGGGAAGGCTTAGCTGGCCAATTGAAGGGTTAGTCTCACTGCTTAGGTGTCAAGATGAGGATCCCTCAGCTCAATTTGAGCTGAAGTGGCTTCTTGGCATGGGTTTGGGTATTAGCCCTGTGGGGGCTCACGATTTTGGGCTTTTGCTTGAGTTAAGGTGGCTAACCAAGGGTAGGATCAGAGTTAAAGCTTATAATGATCAGTAAAAATGGCACCATAGGGTATGGACATGTGGTATGGCAAGTACGTTGATTTAACCCTCTCCTTATCTCTTTTAAAATTTTTTTAAAAATTTACCCATGAGATAAATATCAAGCTTAACCATGGGT